CTAAAGATTGAATTATTGAAGAAAGAAAATATAGCAGATTTTCATGTCTTGTCCATTCAATCCACTGGCAATAACATGTATTCTTTATACTCTTTTTAGGGCGTGTTCGGTAGAGATTAAAATGGAATTAAAATTGAAAAACTAGTCGTTATTGTTGACTTTTATTAGACCAGTGAAACCTAATAACGGCTATATTTTCAATGTTAATTGGATTTTAAGCACGATCAAACACGTCCTAAATGTAAATTGAAATTCAGCGAAAAAGTAATAATTATTGCCTTTACAATGTTGACTGAAGTTTGTACGAAATTTCAAGATGTTTCTTAAAGAATTTTATCGATTTGTTTAGTCCCCAAAGTTAATTAATATATATCCAATTTGATACTGCTCCCGTTAAATGCTAAGGTGGACTAAACAACGTTAATTTAGATGTCTTGCACGTCAAAGGAATTAACGCCATTCAGTCGACCTTGATATTTAACGGAAGTCACCTTCGACGCTACTTTCACTAATTTAGTGACCATTTTTGTAACAATAATTTACTTAAGTAATAAATATGTCAATAAAACACTGTAAGGACCAACTTGAATTGACTCTTAACGATGTCGACGGGAAAGGAAAAAAATGTATACCGAGGACATAATCGTAATTTTAGTTGATTCACCGACGCTAAGAAGATATAAATTCGACGTCGTGTTCTCCTCTCCCCTCCTCGCTCTGAATTTCCACATCTGTACACCATCTGCAGATCTGCTGCGGATCAAATCTCATTTTCACGGAGCACACTACTATCAATTCTTACTCAGAAGGTCAGTAAAGATTTTCATTTGAAAACCCTTTAATAAGGCCCTTTACTTTCTTGGTGACACATTGTATTATCTCATACACACAAACCCCGATCCGATCTATCCCTTCCAAAACCCAAAAAGATAATCCAAATTCAGAAACAAGTATTGATCAAAACTACAATCCCTAAATTTTCCTGGCCTTTTTTTTTGTTATTCCTGATATCTTCCCAGAAGACGGTAAAAATGGAATCTTTTTGTAGATTCAAGATCTGGTTGTTGCTTGTTTCCTTGACCGTTTTTCGACTGTGTCATGGTTTTTATCTCCCTGGTAGTTATCCTCACAAGTATGGGGTTGGTGATTTCTTGAACGTTAAGGTTAATTCTTTGACATCAATTGAAACTGAAATGCCCTTTGGGTATTATAGTTTGCCATTTTGCCAGCCGAAAGATGGTGTTAAGGATAGTGCAGAAAATCTCGGCGAGCTTCTTATGGGAGATAGGATTGAGAATTCTCCCTATAGATTTAAGATGTATACCAATGAGACTGATATTTTTCTGTGCAAATCCAAGCCTTTATCTGGTCAGGAATT